AAGGCCTGTGCAAGAGCAGAGGGAGAGGCAGGAGAAGGGATTTGTAGGGCAGGAGAAGGGATTTGTAGGGCAGGAGAAGGGATTTGTAGGGCGCAAAGAGGATGGAGAAGAGCTCGGGAAGGAGGTGGGAATTCGGAAGCGGGAGGAATAACTCCAAAAGGTGGGATGCACTCCCGGGAGAGGCAGCAGGGACCATGTGCCCAGAGTGGGCAACTGCAGAGTGGTCAAAGCAAGGAACCACTTCCTAAATGAGGAAGGGGATCTGGAACAGCACCAAAGGAGGGCAGGAGCCTCCCAGTGAGCTCGTGGCACGGCCTGAAGAAGGTTCTGCAGCCTCAGAAGGTCAGAGCGTGGCTGGGCTGTGCCCAGTGCCGGGATCAGGGACTAATGAGCTGGGGCTTCAGAGACACCCATGAAATATGAGGCTGTTAAATGTCACGGAGCAGGCACTGACAGATAAAGACCTGGGAACAGATCCAAGCCATCCCAAAGCCCCACCAGCATTGTTCAAAATTCAACCAGCGTCGAGCTGCAACTGCCACTCTTGTCCCTTCCCAGCCGTGCTCAAAGGACACCTGGAGGAGGATTCCAACCTCAGCAGCTTCTCTGGAGGCCAAACACAGCTCAGGTCTGCTGGGAGAGCTGCAGGATCCCCCACGGGCTGTGGGTTTGTCTGCTGGGACCACGTACAGGGAACGGCTGGCCCATCCCATGGGGTGCAAGAAGCAGCACAGAGGGGGAAGGGATGAAGGGTGGTTTGATGACCGGTCCAAGGCAGCTCCAGGGGGGGTTATTTGGGTGGAATAGGCTGTTTGCAGGCACTAAATGCATCAGCCTGATGGAGTCAGAGCGACAAGGAAGGAGGATCGGCCAAGGGAGAAGGGGAGGGTTGTTCCCTTCCGAAACTCCCTGCATGCATTTGCAGAGTGCCACAAACAGGAGGGTTTCAGGGAAACCTTTTTCGTTTCATGGGTTTGAAAGTTTCGTGTCCAAGCACAAAGACATCAGAAATGCAAATGCAATGTTTTGAGCAACACAAAGAGGTTTTGGCGGCGGCGAAGGAGGTGGGAGGAAGAGAATTTTCTCTTCGAGAACTGCGAAATTATGGGGTTTGTTCCAATGCAGGATGGAGCCTGAAACCTTGAAACCCTCCATAAACTGAACTCCTGCTCTCAGCACACTTCTCCCTCTCGGGGCTGCTGATGCTGCTTTTTGGACCGAAACTGCCATGTTTCCATCATGCTGCTCGTGTTATGGAATAGACCTGAGAAGGAAAATAAATATTGGCAACTCGGTGGCGAGGGGGGAAAGAAGGAGGGAAGATGGGACATGACAATCTCCCTAGAGCTCAGAGGGAAAAACAGACCTAGGTTAGCTGGCAGTGAGTGAATCAAACTCTATTTTTGCTCTCTAGCCCACGGTGAGCCTCATGGCAGAAATGCCAGCTCTCATCATACCTTGCTCCCCACTTCCATGCTCTGTTTTGTGACTGACTTCAGTGCAGATGGCTGGAGCCAAGGAGCAGACACGCAGCCCTGGTCACAGCCCGTCCCACAGACAGGCAGGGAAATCAGCAGGGAGGAAAAGCCAGGTCATTCCAGGGATAACTCCCCTGGGCAGTGCAGGGGATGGAGATGAACTGATGGTTTCCCCCAAGCAAACTCAGAATCCATCAATCACAGAATGCCCTGCGTTGGAATGGACCTTAAAGCTCATCTCATCCCACCCCCTGCCATGGGCAGGGACACCTTCCACCAGCCCAGGTTGTTCCAAGTCCCATCCAACCTGGCCTTGGACACTTCCAGGGATCCAGGGGCAGCCACAGCTTCTTTGGGCAACCTGGGCCAGGGCCTCCCCACCCTCACAGGGGGGAATTTCCCCCCGATATCTAATCTAGCCCTGCCCTCTGTCAGTTTGAATCCATTCTCCCTTTTCCTGTGACTACATTTAAAAAGTGCCTCTCCACCTCCCTTCAGGTGTTGGACACAACTGTTCCCAGTTTTCCTTGGAAGTAGCACTAGAAACACGGGCTGGAAGCCCGAAGCACCAGGTGTTGTTTGAATCACTTTTGGCAAAGCCCACCTTGAGCGAGAAGTTTTTGGCTCCTTGTGAACAACCTCAGAGTTGCTCCCTCCTGCCTTCAGAAGGCTGTCACGGCTCCCTGAGCCGGAGCAGCTCTGACAAAGTGCTGCAGGCTGGGAGGGCCAGCACAGGGCAGGGACGAGACAGAACTGGAGTCATCCCAAGACCAGCGTCTCCAGCTGGATTGATGGTCAAGTGGTCCAGGCTGTGGGTGTCAAGCTCGACCTTAAATGAGGTTTTGCCCCCTCCTGGTGTCCGGGCAGAGCTCTGTTCCTGCTCTGACTAACGCCAGCTTCGCTTCTCCCCCCAGCCTGGAGGAGTCACAGCCTGCAGCACGAGAGCTCCATCAATCTGGTGAGGCTTGCTGGGGTTTTTTTGGCATTTCTTTGGCACTGTCCAGCAGCCTCCCCAGTTACCCACCCCCCTCGCTCCCTGCCCCTTCTGCACTTCTCCTACGGACCGAGAAAGCTTTGACTGCAGCAGACCTTCACGATGCCCTGGCTCTGCCTGAGCCCAAGCAGAGGAGATGAATCATCTCCAGCACATCACGGGAGAAAGGCCCTTTGCCCTGCAGAGCAGCTCTCAACAAGTTTTCCCTGCAGTGCATCTCCTTTCCCACATCTCTGCTCGAGCCCTTGCTCGCACCGAGTCCTGCTGCAAGAACGAGGCTGCAGCTTCTCATCAAGCAGGAGGTTTTGACTGAAAAGTGGGTTTTCAGTCCCAGACTATATAGATTACATGATTTTTTTTTTTTTTAAGGGTGTTGAAATAAAAAGAAGGAGTGAGGTTTTGGTGAAGTACCCACTTGCTGCTTCGAGGTCCTTCAATTACGTGAATTCAAAGCATTTCTGTTTAATCTCTGTATAGAAGAGACTCCTCGAAGAAAAGACACCATTTTTCATCCCTCCCCCACAGCTGGAGCAGAAGAGACAGCAGAGGATGTGGTTTGAAGGGTGAGGCTGTACCTTGGACCAATGTTTGGGACTGTGTCCTCCGGGGGCTTCGCTGGGCTGCGACCCCCAACCCCTCCACAGCAGCCTGTGCTAAACCAGAGGGGGCTTTTAAGCACCCCTGCACATTTTGTAGACAAGCACGACCCTTTCAGTGTCTCAGATCTTTGGTTGCTTCCAGCAGGTTCCCCCAGGATGGGTTGGCACTGGGTTAAGGGATGCACCGTCCAGCCGGGCAGCCCAGCCTGCTGGGCTCAGAGAGAGGGAGGTTAAATCACCTCCTGTTGCACAGCAGAGCCCCAAAACCAACAATTCCCAAATGTACAACGCCTGGGGGCTCATGTGGTGGGGAGGGGATGGCAGGAAGGGCGTCCCTGAGCGTGTCCCACCGCTCTCCCCCAGCGTCTGCCGCCCGCCGCCGGCACCGGGCTCAGCAGGGATTTTTTCCCCTCTGACTCAGTGTGACCACCCAAACGGGCTCTGAGTTACCGTGGCCTCCACGGCAAACAGGCACGATTTGGGAGAGAGCAGAAACCGCATGAAAACAACTGAAAACACAAAAAGGGAGGTGGAAAACACAGGGAGTGGGCGTGGGTTTGGGATGGGAGCGATCGGGAGCTCAGCCTTGGCTGGGAGCCCACGTGGGGACCCTGCTGTGCCTTTCCCCTCTTGTTTCTGATAAAGAAAAAGGAATGCAATTTCTTTTTTTTTTCCCCCCTTTCCTAAGGAAGCGTGTGCAGCAAGAGAAGTTGAAATTACAAATCCCTGCGTGGCTGAACCGAGACCTCCAGCTCCAGCAAACCCTGCAGGCTGTTCCAGCCAGTCAATAACTGAGGGCAGCCACAACCGGCTGCAGCACTTGACACCACTAAAATGTGTTTGGGGACTTGGGGAAAGGTAACAGCAAAAGGCAACCCAGCACTGCTAATAAACGGCCAGGAGGAGAGGGAGAGAGAGAGAGCTGGTACCAAAAAAAAAATAAAATAGCTTCTAACAACAGCTTTGTAAAGCAGGAAGGGCCACAGGGAGCTGCTCCGGCTCTGGAGCGATGAGCTACAGCTCAGAGAAATGCTGAGGGAGATCAGAGGGCAGCACCACGCACATGGCCCCTTGCAAGGAGGATATGTCAAAAATTAAGCTGTTCCACCCACAAGATGGGACTTCACCGTCCTCAAGAAGCCATGGGACAAGCGTTGTCTGCGTCCCCACCCCTGTTACCCCTGCAAACAGGTCTGAAATAATTATCATCCTGCTCCAGAAAGAGCAGAGGGGATGAACAGGCAGCTCCACTCTTGCGTTTCAACAAGGGCTGGCCGTTCCTGAGCTCTTGATGGAAACAATTCCCTGCTTCCCAGAAGACAAGAGCACCAAGGCAGAGGTCCCCTTGGCTTCAGACAGAGCTGGGCTGGGGCTCCCCTCCCCTCTCCCAAAAGCACAGAAGGTTTTGAACCTCGTTTCTCCCGGGGAGCATCGTGCCCTGCCGGTCTGACCTTCTCGCTCGCTCTCCCGCCGTTAATCAACAGCAGATTTCACCCGGAGAGCTCTAAAGCAGGACAGCAAGGACAGGCAACACATGGATCTTGTCTGGCAGGTGGGGATACTGAGACACAGGGCTTTGCTTGAATTTAGATGAGTGAGATTAAGAACATGGAACAGAAACACACCCCAGCCCAGCCCGTGATCCAGCACATCACAGCTCAGCTTTCCGGGAGACATTGTTCCTGCTCTGCCCCCTTTCCCATGCTTAACCTTTCTCCCTGTCTTCCACAGTCTTCTCCCAGTTTTTCATTACTTTTATCTTCCCCTCTTCAACCGCTCCCCCCTTTTCTTACAGCCCTTCCTCTCCACCTCCACCCTGCTGTGCCAGACAGCAGCCAGCTCCGGAGAGGTGCTCCCCGGCACCTCAACCTCGCGTAGCCAAAACCCAGCGCATTCCACCAAATGTAAAAAACGTATTTAGGGACCTACCAGTCCACCTGGACTTCTATATCCCTTGTCTCTACCTTGGAGGGCGCATCTCCATCGCTGCCCTTACTGCTGCTCTTCAGGAGATCCAGGACGGGCTCGATCTCTTTGAGCAGCTCGTTGTCCTCCACGCCGCCGTTGAGGCACGGGTGGCCACAAGCCCCCTCCTTGCCCTTCCCGGCGTCCTGCCCTTTGCCGCCGGTAACGACGCCGTTAACGTGGACCATCGGCTCCACCTCCCTCCCGATCTCTCTGCTCCACAGGGAGCCCATGGCGCGCTCGGGCTGCGGCTGCTCTTTGCCGTGCGGGCTCGGGTTGGACAAGTCAACAGCCCTCGGAGCCGGGCAGAGGGGTCTGGTGACACGGACGGTTTTGGGCGTCCCGTCGCCCGCGAAGGTGGTCTCCAGGTGAGTGGTGAAGCCCTCGGGGCCCCGCAGGATGAGGACCACGTAGGTCTCGGAGGCGATGCTTCTCAGGATCTCCAGCGCCGTCTCATAGCTCATGTCCACCAGGGGCCTGCCATTGACGGCCAAGATGATGTCCCCAGCCTGGATGAGGCCGCTCTGCTCCGCAGCCCCTCCCCGGATCAGGTCGGAGATGATGACGGGCGGTTTGCTGACGCGCTCCTTCACCAGGAAGCCGAGGCCGCCCACCTTGCGCTTGAAGAGCCTCACCGAGATGACGTTGGGCTGTATCTGCTGCACGCTGAACACATTCTCTTCCATGGCAGCCCCTCCTCGAGCCTGCAGACCAGGACCTCGACACCCGCTGAGCGCAGAGAGATCCGCCGTCGGAGATGCTCGTCCTCGCCGGGGTGGGGAAGGGACAACTCTGGCTCTTAGGGAACTGCTCTTAACTGGGAAACTCCTCAGGGCTTCGGCTGCGGGGCTTTCTGCGGCATGCTCGGTGTCACCGCGCTCTGAAACACCCGGGGAAGGGCAGGGGGTGTCACGGGTGGGAAGCAAGGCTAGGGACAGGACAGGCAGGGCAGGCAGGGCAGGCAGGGCTGGGCATCGCGTGGCCAAGCAGGGGCTGGAGGGGACAACATGCCAGCTTCCAGTCAGCCTGTGGTCCTGCGCTGGGCAGAGAGGGGGAGGCAGCCCGCTCGCTTCACCGGCATCCCCGCAGACCGTCCACGAGCTTCTTTATCTGGAAAGGAAGGGGGAAAAAAAAAAAACCAACAAAGGAGAAAGAAAAGTGAGACAGGGCAGGCGTAAGTGCCTGCTCAGCACGGGGCTCGGCACGCCACAGGCACCCACATGCATCAGCCCGTCCCCACAGATGTCACCCCCCGGGCTGCGTTTGGGAGACAGGCTGCAGCCTCCCATCGCTCCGGGCTTTGTTTCCTCCTTCCCCCCCCCCCCCCCCCCCCCCCCCCCCCCCCCCCCCCGCGAAAATCGGCACCATCTGTTCGGCGGGGGCCGGGAAGGCGCGGGGGGAGCGGGGGAGCCCTGGCAAGGGGCTTCGCCCAGGGGTTGCCAGAGAACGCCCGGCAGGTCTGGGGAAGGGGCAGAGCCGCTCGGAGCTCGGCGGCGATTTCTGCCGGCGGAGGATCCTGTCTCCATGTGTTTTCCAGAGCATCCAACAACCTGATGGTCGAGAACCAGACAGGGGACGTACATCCCTGCCCAGGAGGAAACCCGCTCCGTAGGTGCTGTCACAGCGAGTCGGTCTCGATGCTCCGGGAGCAGCAGCCACGAGCAGAGCGAGGCAGGAGAAGAGGACACTCAGCCCCCTTCCCCCGAGTTGGGAACTTGCAAAGGCAACTGCTTTTAAGCCTGGCTCCAGGGATCATCGCCTCAGCTCCTCCTCTCCGCGTATTTCGAGCCTGGCACGGGGATGAGGAGGCAACGCTCGCACTCCCCCGTGCCCAGCCCTGCCATCCGGCTCTGAACTGTTCCCACACAAACTGCTTTGGCTGATGGCGAACCATCGCCAGGAGAACACGCAGTGAGTTTTCCCGGCTCTCAGGGGAGCCTCGTGCAGCTGGGCATGACTGTCTACAGCCCTCAGCTGGCTCGGGGAGCCACGTCTCATTGACTCCTGATGGGACCCTTGTTCTTACATGCCCAGGCTTGCGTTCAGAAACTTCTGCTCCCAGACCCTCTCTGCCTTCCCCTCCCTTTCCTCAGATGCTCTGGAGAACGTTCCTCTCCAGGACTGCGCCCTGACATTTTGCAGCAAACTGAAATGCAGGCGCCTTCTTTTCACTTCTAAATCTGGGTTTTGGGGAGAGAACAGAGGGCACTTGATCTGCAGGCTGGAGGCACTGACACGACGAGGAAAACACTCTCCTGTCTCCCCATACTGAGGGCAGTGTTTGCACCTTCAGACATGGAGCACCAAGTCCCCTCTGCCAGGAGCTCCCTCGGCACCCAGATGGGAAAAACAGGGATCTGAGGAGCAGCCAGTGACACCAGTCCTGGCATTAACTCAGGCATTTTAATCCTCATGTGATGAAGGCTGCTGACCCCAGACTGCACTTTTTACAAGCGAGTTAAGAATGAAACAATTAAATATGTACAACCCAAGCCAATGGGTTTAACCCCTGTGGCCCTTCCCCTGCTGTGACTCGGCCCTGCAGAGCAGCAGCAACGTGCAAAGGGTTAAATGCCACCGAGTAGGCCAGTGGGCATTCACATCCTCAAGGGCTAATTAACCCCGGGGACATAAGCACTAATTGCTGGGTGACTTCCTGCAAGTGACCCCGGCCAGAGGCCACTGGAGCTGGACCAACGAGGCCGTGATGGGCTGTGCCACCTCCCAGGGCTCGGGGCAGCAGAGCAGGGTGTCTGCTCCAGATCCTCAGGCCACCTGGGAGGGAAGATCCCAGTTTTGGGGAGGTTGGAGGGAAGCAGAGATCTGCTTCTACCGGGAAGGTTCTGTCCCTTTCCCTCCTTCCCAGCCCGTCCATCCAGAGCCCACTTTCACCGGCAGGACCCCGGCCAACTCTTCCCTCTTTTTCTCAGGCATTTTGGTGCCAGTGCTGAACCACAGGACCAGCTTCCTTCTCCCTGCCAGGGTCTGTCTTTTCCTGGTCCCTGCATCCCCAGCCCCTCCACTGGTGCCCGTACAAGCGCAGTGACCGTCACCCTGACGCCCAGGCACGGCACTGAGTCACACAGGACTCATTTCTAACGTCCTGGCTGACGCTGCAGGACGAGCGTGGCTCTGAAAGCAGCACAAGTGCCACGGGAGTGTGGCACTGCCAGCTCCCTTCAAGGGGACAGCCCTGTTATTTGCTGGGGATTAGTCACGGGCAGCAGCGCTCGCGGGCTCCTCGCCGCCGCTGGAGTCGGTGTTCGTGTCCTGCCCATCTCAGCGGGGTCAAGGCCATCTCGGGGACTGCCTGGCACGAGTCCCTGTCACTGCTGGGCATCCCCAGCAGCTCACACAGGCAGATGTTCAACAGCTGGAGGAGACCCTTCAGCCCCGCTCGACCTTCCCGCGGTGCCTGCAGGGCAGCACGGCCACGCCGAGCTCACTGGGCAGGGCCGACAAACCCCAAAGTGTTTATCCCCTCACTCTTCTCCCACCAGGCTGATTTCCAGTTATTTCCACCGAAAGGCTCATCATTTGTTGTGTGCATTCAGTTCCAGCCTGCAAGATCCCGGGGGACAACATCATTTCTGGGTGCACAGCATTCCCCATTCCTGAAACCCACAGACACCTCGGCATTCCTTGCAAGAGGGACAAGGAGACAAAAGGAGATTCTGGGTGATACCCCAACACCCAGCCAGGGCTTTCTCCCAGATGAGGGTGAGTGTGTCCCCTACAGACAGAGGGTGTCTTGCTCCCAGACCTTTCACTCTCCCACCCGTGATTGTGGGATCCCACTGGGGACTGGCTGGAAAACAGGGAATGACATTATGTGCCTGCTCATGAGTTTTTCCTCTTTCTCAAGCCCTTCCTTTCCTTTTTCTCCGCAGTTCCTCAGAGTCAGGGGGGTCAGAAAAGAGGCAGAAAGCAGAGGGGCAGGCCAGGAGAGTGAGGGCAACCTGTCTCTAAGCCCCTGAGCCTTCTGCTCCTTTGGGAAGAGCTGGGCAAGCATTTTCATAGAATTATGGCATCATTTAGGTTGGATAATAACTTTAAGATCATGGAGTCTGGTGGTTCCTCAGCTCTGAAGTCTTGCACAAACTCAGAGCGGAGATGGAGCAGGGCAGGGCAGCAGGAGACACCTGGGAGAGCTCAAAAGGCTCCCCCAAACACCCAGTGAGGTCCAGGGCTCCCCCCTGCCCAGCTCCTGGGGTGTTCCAGGAGGTCTGATCCCACATTTCAGATGGAACCTGACTGATTCAGCCCCCGTGAAGCGACGGGGAGACGGCAGCTGGGCTCGGCTCTGAGAGCTCAGCTCTCCCTCCCAGCACCCCTGGGAGTGTGACTTATGAACCCAAGAGCTGCAGGACATTTGCCAGGTTGTACATTTAAAGCTACCGGTGGTGTGTCATGTCAAACTCCTTAAAACCAGTGAGAACAGGGTTTCACTGGGGTGGAAACTCTTCTTTCACCCCCGAAAGGGAGCCAGGAGTGGCCAGTGCTGTGAGCAAAGCCGGGCTCAGCTCCCTGCTGGAATAAACACCCACAGACGGTGCCAGCCCACTCCCTGCCTCAGTCTCCCTTCCCTTTCCAACACATAAACCCAGCTCAAACCACAACAGACCCTGCAGACGTGCAAACTTGTAGCACCCCAGACAAGTGTTAACTCGGATCCCGACACCAATCCCCGGTAACATCCCTCCCTTTGGAGGCTTTAATGAGCCTAAGGAAGAGCAGCAAACAGGCTCCCCTTCGACAGCGACGAAAGCATTCGCTCCACAAACAACTCCCACCCCCAAAAAAAGAAAAAAAAAAAAAAGCAACAACAAAAAGCTTCTCAAGTTGCCAGATAACATTTCGAGCACCAAACTCCAGCACATATGTTAATTGGATGATTTGATTTCAGAAGCAGAGCGGAGGAGAACTCAATCTTTAGGAGCTTAACACAATCTCTTAACTCTGCCAGGCAGCAGCCGCGGGCTGGGGAGAGCTGGGACGTGCCCAACTCCAGCCCTCCGGCATGGGCACTTGGGCTGCCCTTGGCCTCACAAGTGGATTTTGAGCCTTGCCTTCGCCACGATAATAGCTCGTGGTCCTGCGTGCCAGCTTTAAATGGGCACCATTGTCCTACTTAATTAGTTTTCGTGGGATTTATGGCGCTCGGGGAAGAGCCCCGGCGCTGATGGATTTATGCCCGTTTAATTTTTACGACCCACGGAGCGTCAGTGGATGCGATGAGGAGCACTGGGATGCAACATATGCACAGTTACTGTAAACCTGCGTGTTTGTGCCTCTGAAAATGGAGCATTAAAGTGATTCACTGGCAGGCAGCTCGCTCGTGCCAGCAGTTCCGCGCTCGATTCCCGCTCGGCTCCGGCCGACGGCGCGGCGTGTCTGTGTACACGGCGTTTTAATCTTGGGAATATATAGGCAATGTTCCTTCAGCCATCTCTAATTATCCACCTCCCACCAGCCTTGCCAAAATCCACCCAGGAAGGAGCGAGACCTTTTCCCTTCCCAGCCAAACGCCCGCTCTGCTTCTCCCTTCCCATCCCCAGCGCGCCTGGCTGGGACGTCACTGTTTCACCGGGGCCACGACGCCTTCTTTGCCCCCTATAAACCTGATTTACACACACAAGTGGATGAAATGTGGCGTTTTGCCATCTGTATGACACCCTTATGCCAGTGCCCAGCGACGGTGCAGAGCTGCCGGACCCCTCCCCGCAGCCACGGACACCGGCGGGCTTGGGAAGGATGGTGCCAAAGGGATGGAGTGCCAAGGACTCAGCCCTGGAGATCCACTCACCTGCTCCATGTCAGCAGGGCCGTCTGCACTCAAAACATGCCTATTCCTGGCAAAAGAGCAGTTAATAAAATAAATATTTGCTTTCTGATATCAATAAATCCATGCCCAGTCCCCAGGAGGGTCCATTTGCCTCTACTCAGGGGGTTGTTTTCTGGAAAGCAAACCAACATCTGATTGCTCACAACCATATTGTTGGGATGCAGCTGCCCCAAAGCCCTGTGACCCGCACATTTATCCAACTCCTGGCACTCAGTTTGGTGTTCATCCCCTCCCCAGGGAATTAAACAGCCTGGGAAAGCCTGGT